TAAAAATAAAAAGTAGTATAAATGTTAATAAATTTAACTTATATATGATATTTGAAAATATTACTAGCTAATTACATAACATGTGAAATATTATTCATTTAATTAATAGTAACATTATCAGCATTTATATAATAATTTTTCACGACCATGCCATTGTTACTACTTTCGTCAAGTTCTTGATTTTGAATATGCGCTTTAAAAATAAATGATACTAGTAAATTAATAAAATATGTTAATTATTAGTTTATTATTATTAATTAATATTACCTTTGGGTTCTTGAATTAATTTACCACCTTTATGAAAAAATCGGTGACCACCAAGAGTAGGCATAGATTTAGTTGCATTAATATGCAATGAAAGTTTTTTGGTTAAAAGAGGTGGACGGAATGGTTTAATTACTAAAGATCCATCTACAGAAGGTCCATCTTCAGATAGTTTTGCTAGCGGGTTTAATAAAGGCTTATAAAAAAAATAAAAAAACAGTTAAAAAAAAAAAATGTATAGATAGTAATAAACTTATTACTTGATCATTAGATGAGGGCAAAGTTCCTACGCTGCTAATAATTCGAGACAATGCGTCTTCTTTTTGTTTAACTGATAGGCGAGCATAAATTCTATATGAGGATTCACTTTTATGACCTGTAATAGACATTGTCGTAACAAGGGGTACTCTCTGTCGAAAAAGTGAAGTAATTGATGTTGAGCGGCCTGAATGATTTACAAGGTCACGATTTCCTATTTCAATACCAACTGTGCGACAAATATTTTTCATAAATAACTGGCATGTCTTTTCTCCTAATCTTGCATCAACATACCATTCATCAGATGAATCTATAAAATAAGTAAATTTAGATTATCAAAATTTAATAAAAAAAAATAAAAAAAAAATAAAAATACTTTTTTATTAATTTGCAAATGTAAAAATTCGCATGTAGAATTTTTAGGACTTTTGGAAAAATAGTATCTTATATCATGAACTGGCCCTTGAAAACCGTCCGGATCAGGTGGTACAGGTATGATATGAGCATTTAAATTTCTATCAATACTACCCTGATCATTTTTTTGTGAATACTTCATAAATTGGAGACCCCCATTATCCATAAATGTAAACTGAGTTGTTAATAATTTATAATGTTCACCACCTCGTGGTTAAAACTATAAGCAACACTACATAAAAATGCGATATTGCAATCCTTGAGCTGTATCAATAGAAATAGCCTCATGGCGAAATATTTGAGATAGTTCTTCATCAGTTAAATTATTATGATGACGAGAAACTTTTGCTATTTTTTTCAATATTTTCATTTTTCCATTTAAAGCTTCCTATAAGTGTCTAAATTCGTTTTTATTCGTGAGGTTAAACATTTTAGATCCATTAGGGTGTCGCAAAATATATAAACTCAATAAATTAATGCAATTA